CCCCCGCCCAATCAATCACCAAACTGCCAAAAATGGTTTTTTCTAAAAGTTTTTGGAGTTTATTAGTGCCTCAGGGTTAACTGTCTTAAAGGGTCCAATTAGTTAAAGAGTTATGTTAGATTTAACCTTAAGATACAACTACCACTTTCCCTTCAGCTTATTTTGTTGGTGTTAAAACTTAAAACTTGTTCATTTGGTGCCATTTTTATGTCACTAGATAGTTTATTGAGTTATCTAGCCAACAAGACCAAGATCTTATAAAGATGACATATTTTAGGAAAGTTACGATTCTCATGAAATTTTTTTTGATCAAGTATTCTCATGAAAATTTTAGTAATAGAGTGTATGTCCATGATGTCTATCTTGAAGTTGTGTTTTGTTTGTTTAGTTTTAGTAGGATCTATAATGTATATCTAGAGTTAGCTTAGCGGTTAGAGTCCATATTTGAGTGTCAGTATGGGTAATACATGGGTTTATCTTAGTTCTAAAGTAATTAGAAGTAATTTCTGACCACTTTCCAAGTTAGAATTGGAGTCTGGAAATGTAGAGTTGAGCCCTAATATTGAGTACATAAACGGAGTCATTGTACATTATAATTGAACTTTTTTTAGAGGAATAGTTAGGACACATTCTAATTGTGATAAACAGGGTACATCCCAAGTGGAAAGACTAAAAGCGACCCCTAATATAGGTGCATGGGGTGCCTGTCTTTTCAAAACATCACTTTTGACTTATTCATTAGGGGTGTACACCTCTTTATCAAAAATTGGATGCACAATAATCATAAAAAGTCTTTATTTACAATAAATAAAAAAGAAAAACCATTAAAAATACAAAGGAGAAAAATACCAAAAAATCACAATAATATTCTCAAGTACACCCTTTTCAAACTTTCTCTCCATGCAACAATAACATCAGTCACTAAAAAGAAAAAGAACAGCTATGGATTCATCATCCTCTAACATCACCTAATCATAGCAGGAAGCAATCACTAAATTCTTGGACCATGAGCATGACTCATCTAGAAAAGCCTAACACTATGTGGCTGTTTAAATGTTCAATAACAGTTAAAGTGGCTGCCCTGAAAAACTTATTGCTTTATCTTTTAAAGAACAAGTTTTTAAGGAGGTTGTGGGCTCCCTAATAGCTTAAACTGAAGTTGTGTATATTACCATACCCTTGAACATTTTATTGTTTTAATTATTTTATCCACTAAAAGACAAAATAATAAATCCTTCAGTTCAGCAACTTCACATGTTATCAAACAGCCCCTATGCCAAAGCTCATACCCTTATCAGTCCATTTTTTCACATCAACCATCACAACCACTACATACCATATTTGAAACAACCACCTTATACCTCAGCAATTTCCAGCTCATCTTTACCCCTTCTTTAAACATTTCTCTCCATCCTGCTTATTGGCCTTCAAAAAATTGGATTTAGCAGTTCTCATAATCTCCTTTTCTTCTAGTTACAAAAAAAATACTTTTCTAGCATGTTCCTCCCCTATGGAAAAACAGTCCTACTTTCTTACTCACCTCTACTTCTTTGTCAATCACCACATTTAGTTCCACCTTAAATCTTTTATCAACTAGTAGCTTTACCTCCATACTCCTCTCTCATGTGCTTCGAGACCAAATTGTCACTGCTGTCTATACAATCTCTAATTAAAATTCAAAACATCAGCATTGTCAACTTCTGACCAAGTTCTGTGTTTCATCTTCAGGAAGCCACAATCAGCTATCAAACTTGAGAAATCATCATCTGCTTCCCTAAACCCAATGCTACATTATTTGAAATAATGTTCCATATATGTCCACTCTCTTCTTGAGATTTGCTCTTTGAGAGGACACTATCTCCTCTAACCCTAAAGGGAAACAGATAATGGACTTATGGACCACTCTGAGTTTTGTCCGTATGTTCTGCTGCTTGCTTGATCGAGGATTATCCTTCAATGATTTTCTCCTCTAAATCCCTTTAAACTGTGTGCAAGGACCAGCCTCACACAGACATTTCTTAGATGGGAGAAAACTTTTCTGGTGTGTATCAGTCTCAAATGCTTCTGTTCCTTAATTCATTAAAATTAAGGAATTCTGGTTATATCCCACCACACCAATTTCTTCCTCTAAAGTATTTCTCTGCTGTATGTTTTAACAGTATAGTTTCCCTTTTTGCATTGCTATGATCTAATTTCTTGCTCATTCTTTGGTGAACAACAAGCTATTACTTGCTTCTCCATCTCTATAGTCTATTCTTAGTCATTAATCACTAAAATTACCTTCCTTTACCCTAGAAAGCATGCCATTGGATCTGAAAGTTGTAGGATCTACCTGTCCATCACCACTCTGTAGTAGCAAAGTTAACATGATGAATGGGATACTAAGTTGAGAAGTCTCCAAACCCCTTGTAATGGAAACAATGGATATCAACATTAAACTTAATCATGCATCTCCCATTGTACATGCTGGTAGAGGGACTACTTTAACACTAAGGCACTTCAATTCTAACTTGTCATGGCTGGAGTTGATAAAATGCCTAAAAATCATGATATCCTTGTCCCACTCAAGTTCCAAACAGGTGGTAAGTGATAGAACCTACTTAGTACTAATATACTCAGTTGACACGTTATCCTGTACGTGTCAGTAAAACTGGATGTGAAGTCTCTAATTGTAGTTAAAAGGTAAAAACTGCCTGGTCAAAGCTTGCTTTGCATGCCATGTTCTTACTTAAGCAAAGCAAGATTTTCTAAAATTTATCATCTCTTGAAGGACCAAGTTCTGACCAAGCCAAATTTTCTTTGCATTGAATTGTTCATCCTATACCAATAAAAAAAAGTAACCAAATATCTGATTGCAAATGCACCAAGACTGTTTTCTCAATGATGGTCTGACACATTAGGCTTGATCTTTGTTGAACTCCAGTTTATATTCTGCCATTGATTATGAAGGAGTAAGAATATAGAAACCCCTCCTTGGATCAGGAAATTGAAGAGGACTCCATTTTAGTCGTTGAAAAGCAATATAGTCCAGGTATTTTTTCTAAACCAACATCACACAATAATATTCTTACCTTAATACCATGTTAATGTTATCCAGCATACATAAATATGTTTCTTATTTTTTTTTTAAATCAGCTTCCCTTAAGTTATTATATACCATAAAACAAAATTGGAAAGGTAAGGGGAAAAAGGAAAAAAAAAGCATAAAAATGGAAAGGCATGTCATAGATTTCTTGCCTTTCTAATATGCATGTATCTATTTATGTGTTTATGTGTGTACAAATGTACTCTTCCACTATTTACCACAAAACAAAGTAGGAAAGGGAAGGAAGAAATTAAAAAAAAAGTTTTAGATTTCTTGCCTTCCCTAATAAATTTGCTGATGAGTTGGCTAGCCACCGACAAGCCTCCAGTTGTCTGCAGCAACAACTTTAGAATTTTTTCAGTGTTATTGGCATCACCATCCGCTAAATACAGACTAAGCATCAGTCCAAGAGCAGTAGTGTCAGGTTGGTCCAAGGACTCAAATGTATCTTTCACTTTCTCAAGTTTTGTTGATTCTCCATGCACTGCCATCAAAAAGGTCTGTATGAACCTGCTGTCTTTGGCAAACCCAGTCCTTTCCATCTCTTCTAGTAAATTTTCAACTTCTTTTACCATCCCCTCTTTGCAAAATACTTTCATAATTGTCTTGTAAAGATCTTCATTAAATTGTACTTGATCCCTCTGCATGTTAACAATGAATGCTTTGGCCTTTTCTAGAAAACCCAATCTATAGTACAAATTAAGCATTTCCTTACAGGATGCAGCATCAGGAACTCCAGTCTTTGAGAGTGCCTGAAATGCAACTTCAGCAGATGTCACATCTTCCTTCATAACATAACACTGAAGCAAAACAATATACGCAAATCTCGAGAACCATATATTCCTAGATCTCATAAGCTCCAAAATATTTAAGGCTTTGTCAAAATTCCCTGCATTCAGATGGACCTGTGCCATTGCCACATAGGTTTTCTCATCATTTAGGATGCCTAATCGTTCAATGTCTTCAAATGTCTTCTGTGCATCCTCATACAGACCGAGTTTGCCATATATCCTAATTAGTAAACCATAGATGACTTCATCAGCGATAGTATTATTCTTTTGCATCTCCAAGAAAAGGGAAAGAGCTTTGGAGTAATCCCCATATTTGTAGTGTAAAGTTAGAAGTGAAGCACATGTATAGTTACTAGGAATAATTCCTTGAGACCTCATGTCTTCATAAAGTTTAAATGCTTCGTCCCGGTTACCATGCTTGGCACTTAAACTGATAAGGAGGCTGTATGTTGCCTCCTCAGGTATGAGTCTAGAGTTCTTCATCCTATCAAATGTCTCAAAAGCCTCTTCCACCAGACCTTCTTTAGCATATGAACTGATGACAACTGTAYAAGTAAAATGGTTTGGTGCAACCCCTGAATGTATCATCTGCCTCCACAACTGAATAACCTTTCCATGCAGCAATTGTTTTTGCAGAGATGAGATCATGAAATTGAAAACAGAAATGGAAGGTACAATTCCTCTCTGTTGCACAGCAGAATAAAATGACAGCATAGCTTTGTGGCGTCCCCATCTAGCGTACGCGCAGAGCATGGTACCACAAGCAATTTCATCTGGTTCACACCCTGCTTCAAGCATCTCCAAGAAGATCTCTTCAGCAAGCTTTATCTTTCCAACTTGGCCATATACACGAAGAACAATTGTGTAAGCGATAACGCTGGGCCGATAACTTAACTGCATTCACAGAGGCATTTACCTTAACCAGCTTTATGACATTTGCTTCCGGTGCCACATCTAACATTAATATGCAATTGCATTTTATCAATTTACCTCTTTTTTTTGTCAAGAAAGCATTCAAACTAAGAAGTGACAACCAAGTGACCTTCAAGGCTTTAATTGTTGCATATATTGTAAAATATTGAACAACTYCCAAAGAGAACCAACTTCAAGAAAAATAAAACCAATAGCCGATGTATGTCTATGACTGCTAGCTTCTAATCAGTATCACTACTCCGCGGGAACAAAATGAGGAAATGTCAAAATAATACACCAAAAAAGCAAGGAAAAAAAGGAATCTAGTAATCACAAAGGAACAGTTTAAATCAACAAATTATCATCTCACCTAACTTTTTCTCTCTACACCAACTTGTCACATAAATCAAAATTGAATTGAAACATCCAAGAAAAGATTAATACTAAACAATCCAATTGGTTAGGAAAAAGAACACCCCCCCCCCCAATCAAACACAATCAAATCAATATTGCAGGCATATGCATAGTGGCCCAATTGCAGGAAATCTACTTTTGTGCCATACTCCATCAAGTCTTTCCCACATTAATCTATTAAGGGTTCTCAACTCCTCATCAGTTTCAAATGATAAGACGAAATCCAACATATCAATGAAAGCCCAGGTGAAATTAAGCCAGTTACAGCCATTTACACCATTTCCGCATTCCCACGAATAAAACCAGTTCAACATAAATTAAGAAAAAAATGGGAATCAACAAAACCTACCTGCAATTTCATCCAGGCAAAGAAATCCCGCACCTGTCTCCACCCCTTCTGTTCCTTCAACACAACACACATCTCCCGGAACGTAAGCTTCGTGACAAAAGAAGCCATCACTTCCCTCATGTTATAGGATCCTTCAGGCTTCGTCGACAAGTTTCGAACAATTCGAATCGCCGCAACAACGTGCTTCCCGTAAAGATGACCGTTCCTATCATCTTCGAGGTACTGGACCATCTGCTCAGGCGTTCTCCTAATCCACTTAGGGGTCTGTGCCTGGGAACCTTGGTTCCTCCTGAGCACGCTCAGGTAGCGAGCCTTGGCTTTGATTATTCGGCGAGCGTTGTCGTCGGACAGTGGCTTCTTAGGGTGGCTCCTGTAAGGATTGGCTTTGGGATTGTAGTTGCCATTGCCATCGCTCAGGGTCCAAGGATCAGGAGTGATGGAACAGCGGATGAGCCCAGGATTTCTGGGTGATTTTGAAGATGACTGGTTTTGGCGGGAAGGAGAGAAGGTGGTCGTAGTGGATAAGAAAGGAGTTTTAATGGAATCCATTTGTGTATTGACTTGAGGGGTTTGCGTTTGAACTTTGTAGAAGGGTTGAAGAGAGACAAAAGGATGAGCTCCACGGCTCTCAACAATCAGCACTCAGCAGCAGTGAAGAAGATGAAGTGGAGACTGGATAGCACATGAATTGGTTGCTTTTGGTTTGGGTAGAGGCTGAGCTGAGCAATCTTACACCACAGAGCTGGAACTTGGAAAACCTGGAGCTTGAAGCTGGATTTCTGGTCTTCTGGATACTGGAACAGTCATTTCAAATGGGTCCCCTCGGGCCCGGCAGACGTGGATGATGGATCACTGTACACAATATTTCAGATTTACAGCCTATTGATTATTCTTATGGTAGAATGATTAGATTGGAATCGGCCTAAGATTTAGTTAGTTGTATAAAGAAAGAAACTGTGATTGAGAATTTCCTCCGGGGTCACTTGATGGTTCAGTTATTCGACCCATAGGACCCGAACCCGTTGACACATCAGTTAATGCAATTTTATATTTTTTAGGGAAATTATCTATAAAACTACTTTTCAGCAATTCTCTTAAATTCATCATAATATTTCAACAACTCTAATATTCACTAACAAAAGTTGTCCACGCCACAATAAATACAATTCTCATAGCTAAATTACCCTTCACTGGAGAATTAGAGAAAAAATGTTCATTTAGGGTTTCTCTTTCTCTCTCCAACAGGCATCGACTGTAGCTCTGGTAATATATCCCGGTGAAGGTTTTCAGTGTTTTTTCTTCAAAGAACAAGAAGCGTCCGAATGGCTCAGGAGTACTGAAACCCAAAATTCCTTGACCTTGCAAGACCTTCTGGAACCTTAAAGATTCCCCAAAGTCTGAAAATCCTGTTCCATTAGGAACCAGAAAATCTAGTTTGGATGAAGGCAGAGTCATCCTGGTTTTTTTTTTTTTTTTTAACCAAGTGCAGACAAAGTGCTGCAAGCTGAAGCTGGATCCAATTGTTCAATCTCCCATGGAGAAACCCCATTATGCCGATTTGTCTCCAGAACATCACCCCGCCTCACCAATAGGCATCACCATTTTGAGCCAGGCCATCTAACAGGGTCCATGTCATTAATCCCATTTACCAGACCAGTGTATCTTCGCTCTACTGCATCTTCAGTTTCAAACCTCATTTTAAACTTCATTCCACTAGAAAATGGCTGATTAAGGCATTTAAGAAATTTATAGAAAGGAACTATGAACTCAAATTGGCTCGCCCTTGGATTATAGTAAATGTTGAATACACTCTTTGTGGACACAGCATTGGCCACAGTTGTGAGAGTCCCACCATTCATGCTCTAGCTATAGAGAACTGGAAAAGGAATACCACCTTTCACTTGAGCAGCTCTCCGGATTCCCAATCTCAATTCCCCATTGTCACCTTTGAAAAAGAGGACAACATCCCCAAAGACTAGCTTCTTCTTATTGACAAATGCACTCCATCCAGTCGTAAGCAAATGTCTCCGTGGCTAACCCTTGTAGATGTGCCGAAACTTCCACTCTACACGACTACACCATGTAAATCTTTTGCTACAAGCTCTTGGGATGGTCTTTATTGCTTATAATCCAGAGGGGGGAAGCAGTATTTGGTGGTTCATTGAGGAACGAAGAACTCTCCATGAGTGTGCTCATATCAGAAGCAGTGAGGGTTTTGCAGAACATGTGTGAGGCGTTGTCAGCTTGGCCGAACCTTCAATTTCCTCGTCTTCACCATTAGCTTCCATATCTCCTCTCAGCAGTTTCTGCTCAATCTCAGTTTCAGGAAGCAGGGAGACTTGTGCGTAAACTTCATCCGTGGCAACTTCAGCATGAACCTTGATGTTGACGACGCGGCAGAACACATGAGGCAGAAGATTAAAAACCGTCGCCGGAAATTCAGTGATTTTTTTTTTTTGTCTTGTTCAGTTTTCAATTTTCTTTCTTTTTTTTTCATTTTTAGTGTTTTGTTATAATTTGCAATAGTTTTTATAATTTCTATTTTTTTTTACATTTTTCTATTTTATACAATCTATAAATTTCCTTGTGTTTTTCTATAATTTTTGTTTTTTTTTTAATTTTTATTTTTTGATTTTATTTTTCAATTTCTATAGTTTTTATAATTTAAAAATACGTTTTCTCTTTTTTATGTATTTTTAGTTAAAATATTAAAATATATGTATATATTTTATATTTTTCTATGAAGGGTAAAATGGTAAGTTTTAGATATTTTGAAAAGTTATAATGAATTTAAGAGAAATACTGTAAAGTCATGGTTTTAGATAATTTCCCTACTTTTGATGCATTGGGTATGGGTTGAACTTGGACGCAGGTACAATGGTACAAATTAAGGGAGATTCCATATTAGTATCTGTATTTTGGGCGTAATGTCATTTTGATTCCTGAACTTTAAAATATATTAATTCACTATTTAAGCTTTCAAAAAATATATATTTTTTTGATAAATTAAACTTTCAACTTTCAAAATATATTAATTCAGTATTTATCATTAATAGACTGTCAGTTATATATATCATATGATTAATATATGTGAATTAAATATTTTAAAAATAACAAGATTACTGTTCAGGATCTATTTATTGACATTGCGCTCATGGCACTTAGAGGATCCCTTCTTGCAAGCAAAAAGGAAATAAGCAAACGACTCCAGATYTCTTGCCCAGTCTACCCACAATGCATTATCCCCCATGAATTGAGAACATCTCCCCCTGCATAATACTATGTAGGAGGATGAGATGTTCTTCATGTGTAGTTGTGATGGTATAGGGTAGACGTGGGCAGGAAATCCTAACTCCAATGCAACAGCCATTAAGGATACACATGCAATAGTCTATAGAGACTTCTATTGGCTCAAACGAGGATAATTCAAGTTGAAATCCACTCCCCACAAGATAGTTTTCCACAATATGCTACAGTACATTTCCGCCATGTATTGAAAACATCTCCCAATGATGCCTCATAATTTCTGGTATTATCACCGGGAGATATTCTCAATATACAGCAGAGATATACTATGAGACACTGTGGGAAACCATCTTGTGTGGGACTGATTTGAACTCCATACTCTGTTGGCTCGGTGTTATCATAGAGCTTAATTACAGCACGATTTAGAATTTGTAATCCATGCCCATTGGCTTTGTCTCACCCAAGTTGACCACTTAATCGTGTATCACAATGTTAAGTCGATATCTCACCGACTTACTGTGAGTAGAAAAGGTTTTTCTGGCCCTCTCTGTACAATCTGATAACTAAAAGCTTGAAATTATTTGCATTTAAATCGGCTAATGGCTCTATCAGCTCTCTCTGATGCCCCGTAGCTTAAGTGGTGAAAATGCTGGAACTGAGAAGCCGAAATAGGTGAGAAGGCCCTCAAGTGTCTAATGTTCATGAAGAAGTGGCATTTATGTCCTTTCATATGCCATCTAACGGTGATTAAACAATTTTGTACTAAATTAATACACTTTGGAAGTTCAAAATTTCAGATACTGGATTAGCACATTTTAAAGTTCGGGGACCAAATTGTCTCTATGCCTAAAGTATAGGATATTAATCTAGAATTTTCCTACAAACTAGAATTTAGAAAGTGCATAAAAGAAAGTCCGGACTCTATTAGGAAGCCCATATATATAATCCAAAAAAGGCATTTTTTAAAAAAGCATGAATTGTAGTTTGGTTAAAGAAATCGGTTGATGTGTTTTGGATGATGTTTGACATTGATGCTTATTTTCCAAATATTGGTGTCACGTTGAAGCCACATGGGATAAAGAAAAATCAGTGATTTTCAATCTATTTCGTTGATCCATTTTTTGCGATTCGATTCTTGGCACAAAAAATAAATGATTCCTGAAATCAACCCATTTTGAGGATCACCATTTTTGTTGATTTCATGATTTTTAGGTGATTCCGATTTTTTGAGGATGACATGGTATCCAGCAATCAACATGTCTCTAATGAAAAGAATGATCCCAAGGAAAAATAATTAACCACCCTTGAGAATTATTACCAAACAAACTGCTTATATGGCATAAGTGATACCAAATGACAAATTTTGGTGATTTTTCAAATCACCAATTCCAGAAAATCAATTGACAAAGATGAATCATCATTGATGCCAAACATCACCTTCAACTACACCATAGGTTCAGTGTGGTTGAAAATACACAATACCACATTAGAATAGGTATTTTGTACTGTAATAAAAAATGGGTAGTCTGAATCACATCACACCTCATAACCTAAACCTAGGGTGTTTATGCTGCACCCTTAATATGGTGTTTCTTTTTAATTTTAACTGAAAGTCCATTCTTGATATATGAACTTGAAACCAATGTAAATTATAGAGATGGCTCTAAGATACTAGTAATTGGATCGGATGTGAATACCTCGAATTCGAATTTAAAACCTAACGACCTCAATTTGAAAATAGATTTAATCTCACTCCACTTTATTTTTTAAATACAAAAAAAAGTTAATTACTTTTTAATTTTTATATATAATAAATTAATATATAAAAATATATTCTTTATAATTTTAAATGTAATTACATCAGATTTATATATCAGAATCAATAAATATTATAACATAATTGAATTTGATGAAATCAAATCCAAATCAGATCTAATTATATAAACCCATAATCCAAATTCAAAATATTCACCTACTTTCCGAGTGTTTCCTATAAATACAGTGTCCATTTAATTGTATGATATCGTAATACATAAACCTAACAATAACAATAATACCCAATAGTCTTGAAATTAATAATACCTCCCTTGTATTTTGACCTCCCAAAAACCTCCCTTTATGTTTTATATAAACATGTGGATAAACTCCCTCGTGGCGGGAAAACATGGCATAAGTTTAAAATTCCATTTTTGCTGATGAAAAATTTTATTAGGATGTAGATTTATTGAATTACTCAGGAAAAAGTACGCTCTGTTTGGTTCGTGGGAATAAGGGCTTGGAATTGGAATCGGAATGGATTATTCTGATTCTAATTGTTTGATTGGGTCAAATTGAAATTTCATTTCTATTTTTACTAGAATGGCATTCCTCTATTAAGGGAATGGTCATTTCTTACCCTTCCAATAGAGAAATAGATCATTTTGATTCTGATTCGAGCTGCCAACCAAATGGACTCTTATTGACATCAGCCATCAGTCCAAGAGCAATAGTGTCAGGTTGGTACAATCGTACAAGTACTCCAATGTATCAAGGTTCAAA